GTTAGTGCGGTTTTCTGTTGAGTGATAAAATTCAAGTAATCCAGAATTGCTCTGCCGGTTTTGCGACTCGTTTAAAATCTTGCTACCCGGTCCTCTGCTCTCCCTTGTAAATATTCATACAGGTCTACCGCACATATTGAGACTATCACTTACTGACTTAAATAATTCTGGAACAGAGGGAAGATTTTCCTGTCAATTATTTCAACAATATACACGAATCCTTACGGGTTTTTGTGGCGTCTTAGAAGGGATAGGGTCTGATTGGGATTCCCGTAGTTATTTAAATACAAACACCAGCATAAGCAGCTCCTTTAACAGAAGCAGAAGACACTTCTTTCTGACGCGGACTTTACCTTTTTCCGGCCCGACGCCTCTAGATGGTCCTGTTCCACTCGAAGGGGTAGCAGAACGTCTTATGGTCCAATCAAAATTGTCATCAGTTCTTTGTGAGCCACATGGTTTGTCAAAGTTGCAGTAATAGCCTTGAAGAAGCAAATGCTACGTTAATGATACAATTCTGTTTCAAGATTCGAAGCAACTATTTTACTGTATGTTTTTAGTAACATTTGTAAACAATCAAGGAAACAAGGTTCAGAGTTCAAAGTACATATCATAATTTGTAGCAATTTACAGAAGGCAATTCTGAATTCTGAATTAGGACCGGATCGGTGATCTCGCAGGTTTGCAGATGTCACCCTGCGAACTGAACAAGCTTAAAGCACACTGCCGCGATGTGCTTTAAGCTTGTACAGTTCACAGCTTTCACTGCAAAACTGAAATATTGGCCGTTAGGCGATAAAACTGATATCATGATACATGGCTTTTTCATAATCATGGTGAAGTATACTAGCTCTTTAAAAATGTTATTCAGTGCAAAATTAAGAATTTTTGCCAGAAAATGGAAAGAGAAGATGAAAAGAGCGCGTTTCAATACTTCGTGTGTCAGTTATTCTTTTCATCTTTGTCTCATTTTTTTTATATCGGTGGTACTTTAGCATGTTCTGTTTTTGAGTAAAATACACTTTGAGATATCGACAGAGGATAATCTGAGAAATACTTAACTTACCAGCTCCAAAAGCCACGTTCGCAAGTAGTACAGTAAACAGCAACATCTTGAAGACCAGCTTATTGGTGAACATGCAGTGAATTATATGAGTTTTTAACGATTTTATTGTAAGTTGATATGCTCAGTTATCGATCAACTTATTTGTGGCCTAATGGAACACGCACTTCCTTTAAATACAACCTTTTTGCGCTTTTCAATAGCTGCATTAGCCCTTAACAAAAGAACAAAAATGGAACAATTAAAACATACTGAAATATTTAAACACATGGAGCTGCTGATGAGTTTTCACAATAAAACATTATAGTTATATTTGTCTTGGCCCAACCTGAACAAGTAAAATATACGTTCAGTGTTAAGCGTTTGTTTACATATCGTAGGATTTTTCATGAATTGACAAACAAATACAGTAACTTCTGAACAGGGTAATAACTGGTGTTAAGTAGACTAATAATTATACATGTTAGTAAGTAAACATTTTTTTCCATTAACCTTGGTCACCAAGTTTTGCCATAAAGGCAGCGAACTTAAAAAAAAAAAAAAAACATTCAATTTTACTGAAAAGTATCAGGGTTTTGTATCGGCAATTGTCTTGATATCCATACATTCTATGAGTTTGTAACGTCCAATGAAATAAATTATTTCGGACAAAAACAAATATCCGAAAATATAACCGTCCGAGATTTTTAGGCGTCCGAAAATTTAAGCGTCCGAAATATTTACAGTACAGTATAAATCTTTTTAAACAAATAAAATCAGCAAGATTCTACATGGGAGGTTTGTATGATAATTTCGCCAGTGGAGAATATTTTTTCGGACAAAAGTTTTGCACAAACTTTTCGTTTTGTAGATAAAAACCGCAAAAATCGCAAAAATTAGAACCAGGAAAATTTTGTGCTACACGGTACTTTAAGCAGGCGCCTTTTAAGTGGTTATTTGCTTAAAACTAATGCAAGGATCATTAACTCTAACAGGTTAATTTGAGTCACTCAAAATCTAAGCATTTTTATCTTGTACCTTTGAATTCCAGTTAATAGAAGCAACAAAAGAAAGCTAATGAAACATATTACAAATATTTAAACAGATTTATATGCTCATTTGTCTTTACAATACGAAACGTTTTCGTTGCCCAAAGGTAGCAACCTTCTGCTTTTTTATTTATAGAAATTAAAACAAGTGAATATCGATAATGCTTTCAGTAGATATTGGTTAGAAAATTGTGCAATTAAAAAACACATTATATAAGAATGAAAATGTCGTGATTTTGAAAACGAATAGGGCGACTGTCAAAGTTTATAAATTGTGCGAGTTAAAACGTTTTCTAGGTAAATTAGAAGTTTTCGACCTGTATAATAAAGATTATTTATCCTCACCAATCGCAACAGCCAAAAAAAAAGAAACCCGTTTGGGCTTGAGAAATGCAATCAGTCTTTCAGAAATTGTCGGCTTGCATTTGGAAGGGATATTGCGTCTAAAAATCATAGGGTGAAGGTGGGAAAAGTTCATGGTAAAAACGTTTTAAACATATCCAGCACGAAAAAGCGAACAAGCTATACAGGTTTCAAATAAACATGGAAGCTTAAAGCACACTGTAACAAAAATCGCCAAACAACTTCATAGTGGGGAATTTGTGATCGCAAGAGAGTTTTTTTAATAACAAAGAAATTTCGTTGTTAATTACGAATTCTGCAGCTGGTAGCTAAAGGAGTAAATCTTATTTTCATAATTTTCGACATTTACTTTGAGCGCCCACAGTTTTTATTTTTAATCAGTTGAGTTATATCCCGTGACTCCTGTGTGCTGGGTTTAAGTTATTATTAAAATATTATTATAACATTATACTAAGTTATGAGCCACCACATAACAGCCTTGTCACAATTCCTTTCTGTATAAGATTGCCCATATGTGGAACCGGTTACCAGCTATCACCAAACCCTCGACCACTTTGGCACAATTTCGTTCTCGTTTGAATGGTGTGGAGTTTGCAGGGTGCCAGTGTATGAAATGTATTTTCCAACTCATATTTTTAATATTAGGACTAGTTGCCCTTAGAAATATTTCATATTTTAATTCTGAATTCATCTTAGCAAATATAGTAATTGTAAGTAGTAATGTTATTGTAAATAGTCGTGCGTTTTTATCATGAGCCCCTGGCGCGGGAGATTGGGCAACCACTCCCTACGTTTACGACTTAAAATAAAGTCACCCAACCTTACCTCTCCTAAAGTTCCTACTGCGCACGTATTTCATGTTCGGCTACCCTCTGTTAGCGCGAGCAAAATTTCCCACAACTGATAAACATCGATTTTCTTGAAACTAACATGTGTGTGTAGCCCTACAACAAATTTTACTAGAAAAGTATACGATTTTGAAAACGACAAAACAAGCAAGTAGGAGATAAAGCTCAGTTCAAATACATGTATTTTATCTTTACCCACAACATGACAAGAACTCTAAGGTTTATTTAAAACTCTGACATTTTTTAATTTCAACTTCATAATTTTGTTCTTCCACTTACGAAAGCCAATCGTATGAATTCGAACTGCTCACTCAAATCATAAAATGCCGTGTCTAGTTCTTTTGATTGCAGAGTGTCTTTGCTCCTTCGAGGATTAACGCGGTTGAGAAATAAGGAGTTGGAAACTAAAACTCGTAAAAAACCCCAGACACAAGCATATTGCGAAGGTAATATATTATATCTACGGTAATATGGTTATTCTTCAGCCGTTTATCTAAAAGAGATTCCATAGGGTAAACATTGGCTGCTAATGTACTCTTGCTGCTAAAATTCAGTCAGCCTTTTACGAACTCTTAATCAACCTCCCCTTGTTTCTTTTACAATAAGGACAACAACAACTTTGTGTGGTTGAAAATGGGGAAGTGGCTGACAGAATGCTCTGTTAATATTTTAGCCCCATGAACCCCGGGAGTGTCAAAAAAAAAAAAAAAAGAGGAGGGCCTGGAGTTCAGGTAGGCCACCATTGCTGAGATGGGGCACAAGGGTGAATTTGTCTTTCCGATAACGATGGTCTGTCCCTGTCTAAAAGGGTCTGTTTTCGACACCTTTAAGCGCACTTACATATACTTGGGTGAACTCCTTGGCATAACAGTTATGTCTCTGTTCATGAGATGGTGCTTAGGATCAAAAGTTTGGTTGCAGGTAATTTCGCCTAGTCGCAGGAAGCCGAAAAATGCCAGTGTCATAGCTGCCCAGAGCATTAAGGAATCCCTATTGTCAGTATGCTGCACATTGAGGAGGTAGTAAAATATATTGAACAGTTGTAAAGTTATTGGTCTGCGTACTTTGGACTGTTGACCTTGCGAACACTTAATGCCTTGAGAATAAGTCGGAGACGAAAGAAATTAGGTAGAGGAAGCTCGTAACCATGGTTGGAATGGTAATTTTTGACTACCGAAAAATAGTTCTTGATAGTGGTATATTGCACAGAACGGGCCATTGCAACAGAGAAATTGATTTAAACATCTTCATTAACGGGGAGTTGCAGATTGATGTTCATTTGTGAACAGAAAGTGGAAAATTTCCGCATACCAGAACTGTGTGTCTTTTTGGTGCTCAGGGCAAGGGCCATCCCCAAGTAATGCTCAGCTTCCTTTGCTAGAGATTGTACAGATGGGCCTGGATGGGATCTGGTCTTGCGTTGGCGTGGGGTGCTAGCTGGTGGAAGCGTTCCAAGAGTCTGCAATGTTGTTATTGATCCCAGGGACATGCACTGCTCGAAAATAAAAGTTATGCTGCAGGGTGCAGAGTGTTAGGTCCCTTACCAAGTCCATTACACGGGGAACTTTGGATCGACGGGAATTGATGACCTCAACTACACCCTGATTATTACAATAGAATTGAATGCGCTTGGATGTCCAAAGGGCCCCCCACAAGTGGCACGCATCGTTAATTGCATATAGTTCTTGCCAGAGAATACTGATCCCTGGCTGGCCTAGTTGTTGAGATGGTAGCCACTGTCCCTGAAACCATCTTTTTTGGGAAAAAAAAACCATGACCCGGGGAGCCAGACGCCCCTGTAAACAAGGAGAGGGTGTCAGAGTTTTCCCACAGAGGGGATTGGAATAGTCCTATACCGTTCCACCAAACACCTCAAACGTTCGTCAAAAATACTCCGCTACGCGTCGTATTTTCAACTCTCTCTCGGTGTTTGGAAATGTGGTTAAACACTGTCTTTCCTGTTTGATATATTACGTGAAGTGACGAAGATAATTCATCGTTTTTGTTCCTCCAAAGGCATCTTCTAAAGGTTAATATGAGTTCTATTTTCACTGTATTTTTATTATTTACCTTTTATTATATGGCTTTGGCTTGTGGCCGATATAACGCGCGCTCTGATTGGCTAAGAGCGAGATC